TCTATGAAGTTCTAGTATCTGGCTTTATTTTTAGTTGCAGTGCCATGTGTCAAACCACGTGCTTCTCTCTGTCATCTGTTTCACCTTCATTCACCTCCTCCAAGACTGCAACACCGTGGTTGATCTTGGTTCTTCTGTCTCCGGGATTCTCATGAGGTGTATCTGAAGCCTATCCTCAGGGGGGCTTTCAGTTTTCCAGGCTTGTGTGCAAAATCAAGTGCACACATTTTCTACTGAGGTAATATTGGCCATGTATCAGGTTCTCAAATTTCCTGATGACCAAGAAGAAATCATTGGCCAACACTCCCTTTAACATCATTTGTTTTGTATTGTGATGCTGGGGACGGAACCCAGGGTTTTGCACATTATAGGAGAATACTCAGCTCCATCTGTCATCTTTCATCTTGTTTCACTCCTTTGCTTACAGCCTGATTCTAGCCTAACCCTGCCCTTCGAACCCTTAAATTGCCACCCTCCTTTCCTCTCTTGCCTTCCCTTTGTTGTTGATGTCCTTGAAGCTCATATCTTTGGTGATGTTTCTTTATCTTCTGCATAACACTAAGCCAGGGGCTCACTTACTTTACCCCGCTGAAACTGTTCTTCTGAAGGTGATGTATTCCCACGTATTCACTTTTGTTGCCTTGGTCTTGTAGCTTTCTCCTCCCCAGCCTCCACTGGCCATCCAGCCATTTGAGCTTCTGGACCCCCTGCTCCTTTGCCCATGGACATCTTCTATGACTTCCTGTCGTACGGTCCCTTGTTTTTCTGTATCTTCCTTCTGTCCATCTTATCTGGATCAAGGTAGATGCAATCCCACCTGTTTCTTGGAACCGAGGCTTCCAGTTTTAGGTGCTGGGATACTCAAACATACTTCCAACATTCCCCAAAGCAAATCCGTCCTTCTGTTTGTAATCCTTTTGACTTGCATTTCTCTATGAACAACACCGCTATACTTTGCCAGACAGGCACCAAGTCCCAGGCATGCTAGACTCATTTGCTTTCTAAAATCTCTTCTTCGTACCCTAGGCCGAGGTCGAGGCTCATTGCTTTTCTTTCCACACTGTCCTTTTTACTTGCTGTCATCTTCTTGTCACCTTCATGTCACCTTCCACTGGGTGTGTTGCAATGGCTTTTTCACTATTGGGCCTGTTGCATCTGCTTTCACCTCCTGCTTCATCTTCCACACAAACACCTCCAGATTTACTCCTCTACAGCACATGGCTACTGCTTCCTGCCCTGTTTTTTTTTTTTTTTTTTTTTTGATCCATTTGACCATTCCGTTATGTACAAAAGTACCTCAACACTCCAATCCCCTCAACTTCTGACCCAAAGACCCTCTCAACATGCCTTTAAATACACCATGCTTCCAGCATTTATCATTTGAATTTAAGCATATAAAAACTTAGTTTATGGGGGTGTTTTTCAAACCAGGCCCCTAGGACCACATTTATTCATACAGCTTGTTCTTTCACCTAAAATGGATTTTTTTCCCCCTAGAAGATTTAGGGTTAAATAAAACTATTTTAAGAAGCCTGGTGTTGGGGGATATCTCCTCAGCTTTAAACCTCTTAGTTTGAACCAGAAGTTCCATGACAGACACAAAGCCTTCTCTCAGTCTCTGGATGTCACATGATACTCAGGGTCTCTCCAGAAAACAGCTCCCTCAGAAGATGTGACTGGGGAGAATTCAATAAAGGGACAATCCACGAATGTATGGAAAAGGTTATATGGAGCCAATCATAGACGGTAGAAAGATCTGTTTCTAGAACTCAGCCAGAGGTGGTAAGAATGGCGGTAACCTTCTATGGAGGAACAAGGTCACAGTGGTTCCAGCCTTGAAAGCAGAAATCGAGAGCAACAAGTCTTTTGCCTTGTTTTTTCCTGTTTGCTCTCTTACTGGTGCCCATCAAAGGACAAACTCAAGCAACAGCTAAAACCAGGAGGACCTGGCTCTCACAGGTGCTTGGGGCTCAGGGCAGGGGGTGGAGAAGGAAAGAACGGGTCTGTGGGATGAAGTGGAGAACACCTAGAACTTCATGTCACCTCTGAACCCTAAATATCACTCTTTAGGACCCAAGTTTCTCCTACCTAAAGCAATCTTTCTTGCTCAGCAGCCTTGGGGCCGCGTTACGAACCAGCGAGAATCTTTGCCTCCAGGGGGTGCACAGGTATGATTGCTTTCCCTCCCTTTCATCTTTTCTTTTCTTCACACCTGGAAGGCCTTCTTCCCTCATTTCTCCTGTCTCTGCTCACTCCTTTTCAAGTTACTGGCTTGTACATAAGCCCTAGAAGACTGAATTAAACCATATGCTACTTTCAACGAAGTGCATTACAGCTTGAAATTTGCATTGAGTTGTAGCATTTAAGCAGTAAGAACTTTATAATGAGAAAGCTGGCTTCATTTTGGAAGCAAATGCCTTTTGAGTGGCTGGTGCATCTTCTTGGACAGAGCATGAAGAGCTCTTACTACCCTCCAAGTGTCTAGCCAGAGGTCTGCAGGGGGGAGGGCTGTGTGGTGAAACTCTCAATGGCCTGACCCTTTCTCAGCATTATCTTCCATACTCCTCTCCTTCTCTTGCTGCTCCTGACTGCTGTCCCCACTCGTGTCTCCCACAGGTCTATCAGTTGGCACTGGAGGGGAAGAGAAGCTAGGACTTGGGGTGCTATTGGTGACAAACACTGAGGTAGCCTCTACACAGCTGGGCAAAGTTAACACAATGAGAAAGTTGAGGAAAACAGCAGGAAAAGCACCCTTTCAAAGTTAAGCTGCCACAGGCCTCTTCAAAAGTGTACTGCCTGGTAAGCCAAGTGGTGGAAGGTCACACACATTCAGAAAAACTGGGAAGCACAAATTGGCTTTGAAGGGAGGGACAAAAAGTTGAATGGGAAGGGAAATAGGTTGAAATCTGGGAGGGACTGAGGAAGGAGGGTAAATATGATCAAAACACATTGTATGAAATTCTCCAAGAACTAACAAAATCAGTCAGGATGTGGTCTGGGAACCCTGTGGGGAGGCTAACGTTCTGCAGCATAGCCCCAAGGGCAAAGCAGGCCCGTGAAGGTTGAATAAGGAAGTTGTCCAAGAGCCTAGGATCTACAGAATCCAAAACAAACTGAAATCAATAGAGCTTTCCCTTGAAAGCCTATTAATAGTTTCCTGACAGCACTCCTTTGCCTCATACCTTGGGAAACTATTTCACTGGCTCTCCTTGACAAACTTTCTTGCTTCACCACTGCCCCGTAGATAGACCTAGACCAGCAATAAGGGTGCCACATAGGTAGCACTGGGAGTAAGTGCCCACGGTACATGTCTTTGCTGCCTTATTTGTGCATCAGTGTGCCGATAGGAAGGCAGGTGGATCTTAGACTTTACAGTGGTGGCCAGCTCCTGTAAGTATTCAAAAGTTAGCGAACAATGCTGCATTTAGGCAGAGCAGAGGTTGACTTTTCTGACATTAGAACAGAAACATGTGGTCTTAGTTAAGTGTTCTAGTGCCGTGAAGAGATACCATAACCATGGCAACTCTTATAAAGAAAAACACTTAGTTGGCTTACAGTTCAGAGATTTAGTCAATTATCATCATGGTTGGATGCACAGCAGCATGCAAGCAGAAATGGTACTGGAGAAGAAGCCGAGGAGAGTTCCACATCTGGATTGGCAGGCATCAGGGACTGGGCTCCTAAAAACTCAAAGCCCATCTCCAGTGACACACTTTCACCAATAAGCCATATGTACTCCAACAAGCCACATGTCCTAATCCTTTCAAATACTGCCACTCCCTGTGAGACTATGGAGGGCCATATTCATCCAAATCACTACAAAAGTCTTTTGCTAAAAAGACACTGGCCCATTAAATGACCATATGTTCCTCTTTCTAGTCCTGTGACCACCGCTATTCCTGACCCTGGGAAAACATGGATTTTTTTTTTCAGTTGTGTTGGACCCAAACACATACAGAATTTCATCTCATTTTCCATGTTTTCCTCACATGGCTGACTTGGTCAAGAGCACTTAAGAGCTCAGCTTCACAAGTACAGTTCTGTGAGGCAAGTACTGTCCAATCCCATCCCTTCTATGTCATAATCCACAGTGTTGTCTGTGCTTTTAGCACACCTGTATTTCACTCTCTGATTATGTTTTTTTTTTTTTTTCTGAAAATTACATCTGCCTATATCTCAGAATAATATGATCACTGAATGAACGAAGACAAATCGTTTCAGGGCAAGATGGATTAAAATTTTGTGCGTGTGCATGTGTATTCCATGGCAATCACGTGGAGGTTAGAGGCCCATTGGTCTGAGTCAGTTTACCCTTTTCACGGTGTGAGTGCTGGGGAATCAAACTCAAGTCATAAGGTTTGGTGGCAAGTTCCTTTATCCACACGGTCATCTCATGATCTCCATCACTGGAACTTCAAAAAGAATAAACCATCTCACCCAAACACACATTAGTAGTCTCTAAATCTGACAAGACCATAGATTACATACAGGAGACGATCCTCGACTCACCTGCTGAGACTAGATAACCACTCTCTCTCTGTCTTATTTAACATGATCCTCCAGCCTTTGAGATTCCCTTTTCATTGCCCGAGAAAGCATTTGAATAGCTTTCCCTTGCTATTGACCACTGAGTATGACGTGGATGCCTGTGTTCTTGGGAACATGAACACAACCAAGACATCTGTCTGAGCTTCAGTGGAATAGAGCAACATGGCTTGTTTGCATTTCATCTATAAGCAGTCTATAGCCAGCCTTGCACCTCATTTTTTTTTTTAAAGGGAAACACTAGGAGGGCTTTCCAAAGCATCTGAGGCTAAGGAGCAGGGATCATACTCACCAGGAATATGAACTCATTTTGAAAAGAGGGTCCCACAGAATACTTAAAGTGCTTAAAGGCTTAGCCCAAGATTTTTTAAAACTCCTGTATCTGCATCTCCACAAACTCAACCCCATTCCCGCTCCTCATTCCCCAAATAAGGACAAACATAGAAACAACTTACTGTAAACTGGATTTGACAGCCACCCATGATGTAGTCCAAGAAGGAATGCATCTTGTGTATCTGTATGGGAGAGGGCCTAGATTAATAATTATATGATCTGCTTTCCCCGCAGATGCTTTAGAGATAGGCTGCTAAGCCAAAGGAAAGGGCAGAAAGAGCTCTGTGGGCAGTCTTCAATGTCAGTACAGATGGGCCCAAGACATCTTCAGATTCCCATCCCCTGCTTTGTATTTATTTATTGCTTTAATTGACATCTGCCTTTGGGCCAAGACCTAAGCCATATTTTCAAGAAATATTACTATTTTAGAGTAAGGAATACCTCATTCTTAGTCACTCACACTACTTGGGTGTCTTCTTCTAGACCTGCCCTGTGCACAGAAGGGTCTGAGCTATGACCTGTACTTTCTTGTCTGTTGGTGAAAGACTGTCCCTGGGAAGGAGAAGGTAGCATTGGGCTGTTACAACTTTTAGGCCACTCATAATTGCATTTCATTTCCTTTCTCCAGTGATACACTAATATTATGACTTTTCTTTGCAAAGGTCATTCCCTTGTGAAACTCATCCCTTTTGATCTCATGACTTGAAATCTGCCCATAAGAAAACTCTAGCATCATGCTCCCAGCAAAGAGGGGATCATACATACCTTGCACTGATTCAGAATCACCATGCCTGAGTTCTTGTAATTCTTCTTTTTGGCCTTGTACTTGGGGTTGATGCATTCCCACTGTACCTACACCAAGAAGGGTCAAATGTGAGTGTCTTCAAAAAGAAGCCAACTCATTCAATGAGGTTGGTCTCCTGGATGCTTCTGGGGAGACAGACACACATGGAACTGGATGGCTGGAAAGTCATCTCTAGGTGGTAACTTTGGCAACCATGACAATGTTAAGGGAGAGTGGTGACAGTGACAATGTACTGCCTGGTGCATGTTTTCAGGCCTTTATTTCCCAGCTATGTGTCCTTTCATGGGCTGCTTGAGTCCTCTATGCCTTGGATTTCTCTTCTCTAAAACTGAGCTTATGATTCCTCAGTTCTCAGCCTTTCTCTTGGCTCTGATTCCAGAGGACACTCTTTGAAGGACAGGATCAATGCTTTGGGAAGGACTGAGAACTGAGAGACTAGCTGGTAGCTATATAGAACAATTTTCAGCTCTTCTAGGAGATTTTATGAGGCAGAAGCAACTTTGAGTAAAAAACCAACAGTCATTGAACATTTCTGTTCATGACCCTGAAGGAGCTGGACCCTGAGGCTTCCGTTGAGAATATAACAGTTTATTCCTGACAATAGAAAATGCCTGAAGAAGCAGCTTTGGAGGCAGATATGAGTAGGATAGACTGACACTTCAATGGCCTCCAATGACCTCAGTACCCATTCATTAGACACATGACTTATTTTGGTCAATGGGACATTAAAAAATATCTTGAGAACAGAAGCTGGAAAACTACTAATGTTCTAAAGTTGACTTTTCTTGTTTTTAAGTTTTATTTTACCATCTTTAAAAGAATTACACATCGAAGGATAAAACCACCACCATCACCACTGCCACCACCATCATTGTCATCACCATTACCACCACCACCACCAAAATAGCCACAGAGACATGCACCAGTCATCTCTGCTGTTTAGGCACAAAAATTGAGAATTTCATGTCACCATAAGGGACAGAGGGGAGCTATCCCGGGTGAACTAGACAAACTGCCAACCAACCAACCAACCAACCAAACACAAAACAAAACTGTCAAGTAAGGACAGTTGTTTAGGGGCAGGAAGTTATTGGGAAATTCATTACTTCAGCAACAGTTAATGGTAGTGTCTCACTACCCAGGAGACCGTATCAGTGACATTGAACCACTTCCCTGGTCAGTTTAAGACTCAGGGTCCTCCTATTTGGTATTGTAAAAAATTCCCTCGATCATCTCAAACTAAAGCTACTTATGGAGCACTCAAGAGTTAATACTTAGTTATGAGACCACCCTGTTCTGTTAGCTTCATGACCGAGTCAGGGAAAGAGAGCTTTAATGATAAGGCTCTTCGTTTTCCCTCTGATGTAGTACACTGGGGTCCTCGGATGTAGAAGGACTCTCTTGTGTATTGTATGGATGTAGCACCTGTCAGTTAAAAAAAAAACACCTAAGGCCTATATCTTAGGCAGGAAATAGGAGGTGGAACATTCACTAGGCACACAAGATTCTGGGAGAGAGACAGGCACACAATATTCTGCTGGGAAGATGTGTGGAAGATGGATGCATGGTACCTGAGCTCAGGTAATCAGCCATGTGGCAGAATGTAAATTAATATAAGTAAGTTATTTTAAGTTATGAGCTAATCAGAGAAGGGCCTAACTGTATGATCAATGTATTTGTATAATATTTAAAGAGTCTCATGAGTTATTATTCCAGAAGCTTGGGTTGGGAGGGAAAAAAACAACTTACTACATTCAGGTTCAAAGTACCACAGAAGGCACCTGAAAGACTCTACCTAGCAGTATATCAAAGCAGATGCTGAGACCCATAACCAAACCTCCAGCAAAGCGTAGGGAATCATATGAAGGAAGGAGGAATTAGTATATCCTAGAGGGGACAGGGAGCCCCACAAGGTCCAAATATATCTGAGCACAGGGGTCTTCTATGAGACTGTTTATCCAACCAAGGACCATGCATGGATATAACCTACAACCCCTGCTCAGACATAGCCCATGGTAGCTCAGTATCCAAGTAGGCTCCCTAGTAAGAGGGACAGGAATTGTTTCTGACATGAACTCATGAGCTTCCCCTCCCCCTGAGGGAGGAACAGCTTTGCTAGACCACAGATAAGGACATTGCAACCATCCTGAAGATACCTGATAAGCTAGGGCCAGATGGAAGGAGAGGAGGACACCCCCTGTTAGTGGACTCGGAAGGGCTCAGAGAGGAGATGAGGGAGGGAGGGGAGGATTGGGAGGGAAAGAGGGAGAGGGCTACAGCTGGGATACAAGTGAATGTATAAAATTATTTAAAAATAAAAAAATATTTAAAAAACCCCAAAGTTCCTATCCCCTCATCTATCAGATTGACCTGCCTCTTCCTCTTCTCTCTTTAAATGATACTTACAGAGTAGCCAAAGCATTCTCTGTATAGATGTGTGTGCATATGTATGTGTGTGCATATATACATGTGTGATTTGGGTGTACATGTATGTACAGTTCAAAGATCTTCAGGTGTTGGTCCTCAGGAACAATCTACCTTGCTTGTTGAGATAAGATCATTCATTAGCCTGGAGCTCTCTAGGTAGACTAGGCTGGCCAGCCAGTAAGCTCTAGCTACCCTCCTATCTGTCTTCACCTTCATAGTGAAGGAACATGCATGCCACCATACCTGGCTTTCTAACATGGGTTCTGGGGATCAAACTCAGGGCTTCATGCTTACACAGTAAGCATTTTATCAATTGAGGTATCTCCCCAGGCTGCAAACACAATCTTTTAGCAAATGTGCACCTGTTCTGTCCTTTTCAGCATCACCCAATAAAACTTTCTGCAATGGTGGGGATACTCTGTGTCCTTGTTGTCCAATATGACAGCCAGCAGATGCATGAGGCTACTGAACACTTGGAATATGGCTAATTTTACGGATAGATCCAATTGTGTTTCTTAATACAATTTAACTAATTAAAATATAAATAGTCACATGTGGCTGATGGCCACCATATTATTATAGAGCACAGGTTGACTGTGTCCTCATAAATTCAGAGGACTCTATTAGAGTCAGTCCCTTTGACCTCTGCTCTGTCTTTGACCACTTTCCATGCAGAGACATACCACCCTCTCCACACCGTATATACTGGTCCTTTTCCAAGTCCTCAAGCTTACCAGGCTCTTTCCTGCCTTAGTACCTCAGAATGATCTCCCTGCCTGAAATGTTTTTCCCTTACTCATTGCTAGGCTGGCTTCTTCTCATCTTTAAAGGGTCTGAAGTTAAATGTGACCTTTTCAGATAACACTTTGTAACTTACTTTGCAATTAAAATGTTTCCATCCTATATTTTAGAAAGTTACATTTGTGTGTGTGTGTGTGTGTGTGTGTGTGTGTGTGTGTGTATGTGTGTGTGTGTGTGTGTGTGTGTGTGTAAGTAAGACAACATCTTACAGGAGTTGGTTCTTTCCTTTTCTGGATCTCAGGGAGCAAACTCGGGCCATCAGGCTTGGCAGCAACTACCTTTATTGGAGGATCTACCTTGGCAGTCCTGTTTTTCTTTTTTTTATTAACATTTGTCGCAAGTTGTAATCGCCTCTTAACTTTTCTTTTACTTGATTCATGTTGAGACTCTGCTTTGACGCCCAACAGTCTGTTAGCTTCAGGAGAGCAGAGGCAATGTTGGCAGGGTTAGCCACTGCACACCAGGCACAGTGGATGCTGTAAAATCACCGAAGGAAAGAGTTGCTCCCACCGTATAAATGTGTCAGCTCAGGGGCTTGAGGTGAAACTAAAATTTACTGGTGTCTCGCAGACACAGAAAAGTACAGTAGTACGCATTTCCTGGCCTCAGAGGGCATTAGAGATTTATCTCTATTTATCTGAAAGCCCCTAGCCTTTGGTGGTCTTCAATTGTGATAGATTTTATAATCTTACTTTTAATGGCCTTTGGGGAACCTAAAGATGAAATGTTTCCCATATTTATTGATTTGACTATTTCTGTTTATAGAGGAGAGCAAGAGCCAACCTTATGAGACACTTTAGAATTGCAGCAGGTGGTATTGGTAAGCTGGCATTGACTTATTAGCTCGACAGGGCTGGGCTCTGAACATTTAATGGAACAGCAGTTTCTCTTGCTGTGTTCCATATTATCCAGGGAGTGACTGCTTATAATTTACAGTTGACTTTAATTGTGGCTCTTGGGAAAGTAATGCCACTTTCCCAAGATTGCATAGCTAAAGGAAATTAGACATTTCCTCATCGAACCGCTTTGTTTTTCCCATGGAGAAACTTCTCTTTCAGGCTAATGTCTTGACAAGGTCACAGAATGACTTTAGGCTGGGGTTGTTCGAGAATCAAATCCCACCACCCTCCCTTTTCATCAGAAAAAATTAATATACAGACGATTTGCTTTCAGCATTTTCATTTTTAGCTTAAGGTGCATCCTAGAGCATGTCTGGGGCAACCCTACCCACCTGTTTTCCTTCCATAGCTCCTCTCATCTCCTTGAAGGTGGAGGTGAATTCTCCAATGAAGTCGTGCTTGCCATTGGAATCCCAGTCCCACACAATGCACTGCAAGACAAAAAGATGACTGTTTTCCCCCAAGGCTCTCAGTACAGCAGCTATGGGCAGTGAGAACTCTATGAGGAAGAAGATGTTCGGTGTGTAACGAAGGCTTTGACGTACTATCCCTTTGGTCTCTATCGATTTTTACCTGGCTATGTTAGCCACAGTCTCCAAACAGCCGTGTGACACATCAGTCACTGTGATAACTTATTCGTGTTTTTAGAAGAAGCCAGTAAGTCCCAGAGGAGAAAGGTGTGACTCTCTAGAAGGGCCATCTTGTGAATGACAGCCTGCGTCTTGAAGGTAGTTGTCTTGCCTCCAATTAAAATGCCTTCCCCCCAATTCTGATTAAAAAAAAAAATACATCACGACAGTCAGTGGTTCATAGCTAGAGATGTCTGAGGTCAAGAGTTTGTAGCTTCTAAAAAGTTGCCTATTAGTGATTTTGACTGGGTGATATTATTCCTATGTTTTTTTCCACTTTCTTGAGGACAAAAGTACAATGCCAACAAAAGCAAATGAAAAGTTGGAAAAGCAAAAGTTCTCATGGTAACCACAAGAGAAATGTATGGATGACGGTGGCCAATACACTACACTGATAAATCACACTCCCATCACTCACCTGTGGCTGTTATGTCTACAAGGGAGATCCATCTACCACTGTTACGCCTAGCACTGTTATGTCCTAGCAACACTTTCTTCAGTGATGGAATTAAATTAGCAACAAGCTCTGTGATTGGAGCATAACTAGGTGAAAACGAAGGTCCTGATTTTTTTTTTTTTCTAGAGTGAATTTTAGATTATGGTCTTTAAAAATATTACATTTACATTTAAGCCAATGGGACCCCATTATTAGGTCAAGAGAGCAAAGAAACTTTTACTCGGAGGTACCTTTCAGAACATCAGTGTCCTAAAGTTAGCCTGGTCTTCCCTCAGGCTTCAGATTCCCACTGTACAGTTTTCCCAAGAAGCCTAATTGCAGGCCTGTTCCTGCATCAGGGAGGGTGCCCCACACATGTACAAAGAAATAGGTTCCACACCCAAATACATCCTTACTCATTTAATTTTTTTTGTTACAGTAAATTGCACTTACATCCATGTATATACTATAAACTGAAAATGGACACTGTCCCCAATATTTGTCTTTATAATCACACACCACTTCTTCTCCATGCTTCTACACATTGCTCAACTCCATTCCTTCTCTTCTCTTCTCTTCTCTTCTCTTCTCTTCTCTTCTCTTCTCT